ATGGTCGTTTTTTTCGGCTAAAAACGCCTTTTTTTTCAAGGTTGGTTTTTTCAGCAAAAATCTAGCCAAAAAAACCCGACCATGTATCGTCAGACGTTTTTGACACAGCAAAAAAGCGCGCAAATATTTGGAACAGTCGTCACTGCTTTTGTACTGCGGAGGGTGTGCCTAATAAAGTGGCCACCAAAGCGTTTTTTTCGGCTAAAAACGCCTTTTTTTTCAAGGTTGGTTTTTTCAGCAAAAATCTAGCCAAAAAAACCCGACCATGTATCGTCAGACGTTTTTGACACAGCAAAAAAGCGCGCAAATATTTGGAACAGTCGTCACTGCTTTTGTACTGCGGAGGGTGTGCCTAATAAAGTGGCCACCAAAGCATGGAGGAGGAGGAGGAGGAGGAGGAGAAGGCACAATGAGTGCACTATATTTTTGCGTGTAAGAGAGGCACAAAATATCAGGAGCACGAGTCGTTGCCTTGTCCCGGATGGTGACCCTAATAAAAAAAGGGGGCAGGGAGGTGGTGGTGGTGAATAAGGTCACAATATTAGGGAACAACAGATGTTGCCTCCAGTGGCTGTCATGGGATACTGTGAATAAACTGTGAATAAAACGGCCACTCATTCAAAGCAGCGCTGGGCTGACAAACGTCACCATCAAAACAAATAAAACCACAGTGAGGGAAGAGGGCGTCGAAAGATTTGGAAACGCGACAACGTCACGAGGGCCACCTCCTAAAATGGACAACAATTCAACATCGCCAGAGAAAGTGGCGGGGAGGAGAGCGGAGGAAAGATCCGTCACGTGTCACGTCCGGGTGTACCTCATGATGTGGCCACCAGTACAACATCAACAACAGAGAGAGAGAGGAGAGAAGGAGAGAGAAGCGGGTGGGCGAGGAGGCGGGAAGAAACGGAGCAGCGGCTGCTTGCGAGCGCACAGCCCGCAGCAGAAAAGCACAAAGCGGAAAAGGAAGACGGAGGCAAAGAGGAAGACGTCCGAGCGCTTCGTCAAACGTCGACGCCCGCCGCCATCTCGTCACTTTCGCCGGGGCGGGAAGTCGGAGCATGCCGCTCCCGCCGCCAACAACCTTCTAGAATGTTCACGCGCCGTGAGTCTCACTGCACTCCTGCTACCCGCGTTGCGCGTGCGTGCGAGCGAGTCCGCGTGCGATGAAATATTGACGAGCAACCAAAAGCGTGAAAACGGGGAAGAAGCCGTCCGGCGGCGTTCCCCCTCAAACAAATAATATTGGAGGAACTTGGCTGATGACCCGATGGGGGGAATGTCACTCCGTTACTTTCTGAGCTCCCACATGCTGACTGTCATCGCATTTCGTCTCTGCAAATAGTGGCACATGACTTGACGAGTTGGCCCTGCCACAAAAAGAAAAAAAAGAAAGAAAAAAAAAGGGGGGGGGGCCATAATACAGTAGCCAGTGACTGAGCCCAGTTTGTCGCTGAGACTTTTTGGGTCAATTTCCGGTTCAATTGTGCATTGGGACGCTTGGATGCTGAGCAGCCCACGCGTCGGGCTTCCCCTTCGCCGGTCGTCGTTTTGTTGACGTTTCACTGGACAGGATGGCATTGGGAAAGTCAATTGCTTGTGTGTTTCACAAACTTGGCCGGGAAATCGGATTCGCAAACAAATTTGGGTGCGAGGCGATTTATTTCTTTATTTGAGGACAAAAGACGACCATTCGAGGGGACGTGGTACTTTGAGGAGGTCCGGGAACCTTTGGGATGAGCTCCACAGTGTGGAACGTCTGGAAAAGAACTGCAACTTTCAGTCACTTTGAAGTTGAACTTTCGGAGGACCCTTCGGAGTGTTTGGAGAGATGTTTCCATTTGGTTCTGGGGTCAAAAGACCACCCTGCTAGTGGGGGTTGGACTTTTTAGGGTTCTTCAGGGGAAAGTTCCCAGAACTTTAAGTCGAACTTTTGGAGGACCATTGTGGGTTTGCACTGTGGGAGCCATGTTCAAAATTTTGTTTCGGGGTCAAAAAGAAAGCCCCGCTCGGAGGGCTCTGGTGCTTTTGCAGAGGTCTTTCAGGGTCTTTAGCGCCAAAACAATCACGCGTCACCAAAGGACTAAAAGTTCTCGCAACTTCACCTGCAAATGCAAGACGTTTAACCCCCCGCGCGCGTGTGGTATCCCATCCATAAACATGTCTACTGTTGCGCGCGTGCGCGCGCACACACACACACACACACACACACACATGCGCCCTAACCAGTCACCATAGCAACACACACACACACAAGCCCAAATTGATTTCACCCCGCGGCGCTTAATTTGAAAGTCATACATTTATATTTTTTTGTGCCAAGTCTCCTTTTATTGCATCAAACGCGAATGCGTCACAACGCGACTGCATGCGTGCGTGCGCGGGTTGGAGGCACCTGCTCTGGGCTGTTTACAAAGCTGCCAATCCAGCTGCTGTGAGCACAATATGTTGACAAGCCTGAAAGGATTGGAGTTTTTTTTTTTTCCCCCCTTGACATTTTTGAGGGGTGTGCTGTCAACACGCAACCCCCCCCCCGCCTCTACTTGTCATTTGGTCTTTTCTGCTCCAGCCTTGTGATTGACTCCAAAAGGGGTCAAGGGGACGACGCCCTCACAGAAAGTGTCGCTCATGCGCACATGCGTTTGAAGTTGATGCGCAAAAGTGGGCCGGCACCGAGCGGGTGGGCGTCCCAGGGGCCGTTGAGGAGCTCGTTGGTGGCGAATTAGCAGCTGGCCTGGCCAATGAACAAGCACGGCCGGGAGTCGGGGGCCGGGCCACGCCCGCCTCGCGTAAACAATGAAAGGCCGCGTCGGGAATAGATACAGATTGTTGACATCGGTACTTGCGTGGATGTAAAAAGTGTGTTTGATTGGTTCGCCTGAAGGTCACACACACACACACACACACAGCGCGCGGCTAAAAATAGCCACGTCATGAGGGTGGAGTGGGCCAAAAGTGCCAGCTAAGCGTCTTTCTTCACGCACTAATTGAAGCTGATGCTGAGGATGAACAAGACGACGGGCGACGACGACGCTGCACTTGCGAGCGCGTTGAGCCAAAGCCAAAGTGAAGGCGAGTCACAAGCTGCTGCGGACTTAGCGTGACGCGTCGACGACTTAAGAAGATTAATGTCATCCCGTTTCCGGGCCGACGGCCACGGAGGGCTAAGACCCCCCCCGAAGCGAAAAAGGAGCCCTCCCAGTGCATAGCCTTCAAAATAGTTGAGCTCAACTTGGTCGGTCAGGAGATTGCTTGACTTGTCGGTCGGTCACTCGGTTACTTCCTTCGCTACGTTCACCGTCGCCACTGAAAAGTCGCCGGCGTGCTTCCGTCTTCCAGCTCGGGACTCGGCGAAGCAGCATGCGACTCGTTTCAACGAGCGAATGTTTGTCACGGCGGGGCAGCTTGTTTACTATCTCAAGAGCGAGACACGTGCGCCGTCTGCCCGACGGCCTCCCGGGGCTCGTTAGCGTCTTGGCTGAGTGCCGCCGGGACCGGGCGCTTGGGCGTCCCCGGTGATGGCGGGGGTGGACTCCTCGCACCCGCCGCACGTGTCGCGTCCTCGAGGGAAGCGTCCTCATCGCAAGGTGACGGCGAGTCGGATTTTCTTTACAATTTGGACAGCGGAGGTCACGAGAGGACGACCGCCACAGAGGACGGCGAATGACTTGGGTTGTCAATCTTCCAAGCAGCCGCTGCGTTGAGAGAACACGGCCTGTTGTGTTCTTCGCATTCGTTATTTAACCGGGGCCCAAAGCGGGCGGAAAAAAGAAGCGAGTGCGCCGGCCATCAATTATTGATGGAGTCCCTCCCGCCAGCGTTTTCAGCTTTGCTCTGGACCGTCACGCGTTGCTAGCCAGAAAAACACAACGGCGGGTTTGTGCGCGAGGCCAGCTGGAAATATTGGCTGGCGTGTTTACATGCGGGCCGCTCGTGCGTTGGCAGCTGATGGAAGTGTGGCGGCGTGGTCCACCATGGACGGTTTTGCCAAATGTTTGTTTTCTTTTCCAATCGAGTCAACGTCAAAAGTGCACCTGAGGAGGCTTTGGCGGGCTTCAGGCCGAGGCACGCTCAGTGAAGCCGGAGACGCACACACTGCCAGCACGTGTGTGTGAGTGTGTGTGCGCGAGCTGCTGGCTACACTTGACCTCAGTGCAAAGAGACACTCGAAGCAAAATCCAGAAAAGCTCAACATGCGTGGGAGAAACCAAGCGTAAAGTCCACTTGTGTACAAAGGGCCAGCAAAAGTTCAAGAGAACCCAACAAAAATCCCATTGGAGATTTAGGGGTGGGGACTACCAAATCGTCTACGGCAGAACTCTCTTAAGTCCACTACTGAAAAAAAAAATGGAATCGGCGGCGCGACTGACGTGTGCGCATCCCGTCCCGTTCAGGTTGCGGCGGCGCGGAGCTGCTGCTGGTCCTGTGCGGCCTGGACGCGTCGCTGCCGTGCCCGCGGCACTGCATCTGCTACCCGTCGCCCAGCACCGTGTCGTGCCAGGCGCACGACTTCCGGGCGGTGCCCGACGGCATCCCGCCGCACAGCCAGCGCATCTTCCTGCAGAACAACAAGATCGGCAGGCTGCTGCGCGGACACTTCCCGCCCGCCGCCGCCACGCTGTGGCTCTACTCCAACAACATCTCCTACATCCAGCCGTCCGCCTTCCGCGGCTTCCGGCGGCTGGAGGAGCTGGACCTGGGCGACAACCGCCGCCTGAAGGCGCTGGCCGCCGACACCTTCCGCGGCCTGGCCCGACTCCGCGCCTTGCACCTGTACCGCTGCGGCCTGCTCGGCCTGCCGCACGGCCTCTTCGCCGAGCTGCACAACCTCCGATATCTCTACCTGCAGGTAAGTCCGCGACTGACCCGAGACGGCGGTCAAACGGGGCGATCGATCCCTCCGTGGCCCGAGCCGGCAAAATCATCGCGAGACATGGCCCAGAATTTGCGGGAGAGACGGACGGAAGCGGGCCAGAAAAGGCACAGTGGGCCACCCTCTGAAAAAAATGTCTCGCGATCCCCACATCAATAGTTCGGAAATGTGCAAAAACGTCCCAAAGTTTGACCCCACGGTGGTGGAGAGCTAACGGACGATTTGCTCCGGAAAACGCAGCCGAGGTGCGATTCGACGGCGCCGAGAGCATGACGGAGCCGCAGCCGGTCGCCATGTCTCACTCTTGCCGCGCTCTCTCGCAGGACAACCAGTTGGAGTTCCTGGAGGACGACCTGTTCATCGACCTGCTGAACCTGAGCCACCTGTTCCTGCACGGCAACCGGCTGTCGAGCCTGCACCAGAACACCTTCCGGGGCCTGGGCGCCTTGGACCGCCTGCTCCTCCACCAGAACCGCATCCGCCGGGTGGACCGGCGGGCCTTCCACGACCTGGGGCGGCTCACCACCCTCTACTTGTTCAACAACTCGCTCGCGGAGCTGTCGGCGGGGAGCCTGGCTCTCCTGCCGGCCCTCGAGTACCTTCGCCTCAACGACAACCCCTGGGAGTGCGACTGCGGGGCGCTGCCCCTTTGGGACTGGCTGCGGAGCTTCCGGGGCTCCACGTCTTCGCTGGTGTGCCTTTCGCCTCCGGAGATGGCGGGGAAAGACCTGAAGTCGCTGAGCAAAGAGGAGATGCCCACGTGTCTGACGGAGGAGGAGGAGGAAGGGGGCGGCACGGGGGGAGGGGCCGGCGGGGAGTCACCCAACCACCTGAATCGTCCCAGGAGCCGCCACAACCGCCACCGGCGACCTTACCTGCCCCACGGCGACCAGCACAACCCGCCTCCGCCCTCGCCGCGACCGCCACGGGGCCGTGGCGGGAACTGCACCCGGCCGGGGCGCCGGGCCAAAGGGGGGGCCAACCAAGTGCCGCTTCTTCACGAGCCGAAGGAGAAAGACTTTGAGGGTAAAAATGACGGCTCGAGCGCCGCCGGGAGAAAGAACAAGTGCGTGGCAAGAACTTGGGTAGGCCCCCCCAGCGGAGTCCAGAGAGCCACAAATGCGGCAGCGCCTCCCCTCGCGGGGGCCTTTTTCTGGTCGGCGCTGCTCGCGTCATTGCTAACTCTGCACTGACTCTTTTGGTTGTCAAGCTTCTGAAGGTTTTGCGAAATGCCGCAAGACCGCCTGACCGCTTCGCCCTGGTCTTTTGGGAGTACGGTTCACGGTCTTGGCCATCGGATGCGGTCCTTGGTCTCCTGAGACCTCGCTTCTGTTGTCCGACTGCCAAATCATGCAAGCGCAAAGACGTTGCGTGCGTGTCGTACTCAATGTTGGGAAGAATCCCGAGAGGGCAAAAGGCCGGCCCGGAGCGGGCCACCTTCACCCGAGCGTGTCGCCCGATGACGTCACCTCATGCCACTTTTATCTTCATATACGCAGCGCGTTCCCTTGCATCATCGCAACTTCACCTTCCGCCCATGCCGCTTTCCTCCTTTCTGCCGCGTGCTCACATCCAACGTTTCTGCACTTTTTCGTCCACTCGAAGCGACGACTCTCTCGCCTCCTCCTCCACCATCCCATCCTCGCAGTTTCCCCTCCACTCATCACCCCCCCTTCCCCCACGTTTGTTTCCAAATAAAAAAATACATGTCCTCAAATGACCGCATCCTGCTGTCGAGTGTGTAAAACAGACTTGCTCATAAACGAGACCTCCGGCACATTGACAAGAAGCCAGCAAGAGGACACGCTCACGCCGCAAACAAGCCCCAAAGTATTTTGGGCGTCTTTGGAGTCCGTCCGCCCTTTCACCGTCGTATCCGATACGTAGCACACGCAGACACACAACAGTGGTTGTTGTCATGGTGCGTTTGTGGGGTAGGGGGGCGGGGTCAGGTCAAAGAGAGGTTGTACTGTCATTGCGACAGCGTTCACCCGATTTGGATGAAGAATCTCTTAAACTGGTGAAAACAAATTCTTGGTGCTTTCATTTCGAGGGATGAGAAACGTGTCCGCGTTCCAACATTGATGCCCCGCCCCCCACAACTCGCCGCGTGGCCTTTCGACGTCGGCGCGTTTGTGGCGCCCCTTTCAACCACCCTGGCGCCATCTTTGGGGTCACCGTGGCAACCGCCTCCTCCTCCCACGCTCGGCACTCATTTTCGCCTCCTCGCCGACCCCTTCGACCCGCCCGTCAATTCAAAAAAGCGACACTTTGACGCCGTCCGTCACATTTTACGGCAAGAATAAATTCCCCAAAAAAGGAGCGAAAGAAAGCAAAGAGATGCCGACAAGATTGAAAGCGCTCGCTCAGCTGCTCTTGCGCTGCCGTCCAAAACAATCGCGGGCGTCGCGCGCGTGTTATGTAACGCCGTTGCACTAAATAAAGACACGTGAACTCACTCTTGGCTTCAACTAGACGCTTTGGAAAAAAAAATCCTGGAAAGGAATTTATTCCCGCTCCCAAACTTTTCGAGGGAGACAACAGAGCATCGGCCAAGCAAGCCCCCCCCCCGGTAGCAAAAAGGATCCCAGCCCCTGCTGGGAAAACTCCAGTTCAAAGTTTAACGTGAGCACATTTCCAAACTCCGACGAGGACAAAGCACCTTTGAGGAATACGGCCATTTTGCATTCCAGCGGCCGGAAATTTGCGCCTGCCAGCCGCCGGCAACTCGACCCCCCATTTGGGCGTCCAATCGGCCGACTCGCAAATTTCAGGCGGCGACGATGAAAAAGGGCACGGCGGGAAATTGGGACTTTGCGACGAGGGAAACGTGCACGGGGCCAAAGTCGCGGCGCCACTCGTGACAAAACCAGCAAAGGCAAACTCGGACGGCAAACTCTTTTAATGACTCTTTTTCTCTCTCTGGTTGCTCAAAGAACAAAGGCGTCCTTTCAGGCAGGCGGCGAAGAAAAGGCGTCAAGCGGCCCACGCGCACGCAACAAAGGCGCAACGGTGAGTCACGCGAGCGCCGGCGCCAAACAAAATGCACGCGCGACAGCGGCGGCAACGAACGGACTCGATCGCATCGAACGGAGCAAACGAAAAGGGCGTTTCAAAACAAAGCCCCGACGAGAAAAAGAAGAACAAAACGCCGTGCCGAGCGTTGGCCTCACTTGCTTGGCTCGTGGCGGTCAAGGGGGCGCGGCGCCGAGGCTCGGCCGCGAGTCGGCGCGGGGCAGCGAGCGGATGTTGTCCAGCAGCCTCCTGCAGTACGCCTGGTGATCCACGGGGAGGACCTCCATCACCGTCACCTTCAGGCGATACTCGTCCTGAACCGCAACAACAACCACAATCAAGAGCTTGATGAAAAATTCAACCAAAAAAAAAAAAAAAAACATTTTGAAAATTACAATTTTTTTTTTGGCAAGATTTTTTTTAAAAGCCGATCCTGACGCTTAGCAGAAAAAAAAATCAGTGATGAATTGACCCTAAAATTGTCGCCCTCTCAATGCATTGTTGAGTTTCACGCGCTCCCAAATGCAACGGCACGACAACGCAAACTGAAAGAGCCCAAACAGAACAGTGCGTGTGCGCGTGTGTGTGCGCGCACTCACGTCGTATCTCTGCAGCTTGACTCTGCTCCTGAAGACGTGCGTGGTGTACTGGATTTTACGGAAGACTTTATTGAAGGCCTTCTCGTCCTGGCGCACAAAAAGCAGCAACGTCTTTGAGAGACTTAGCGAAGCGAGCGGCTGCGCGCCGCGCTAACGCCGCTAACGCTAACCCAGAGTGAGATTTTGCTTTCTCGTCAACTCCGATGTGACTCGAGTCGAGTTGAACGTTCCACTGAGGACATCACGGACAATTTTTCAACACAGGACAGAATTGGTGGCACCAGGGCTCGCTTTCCGGTTGACTTGTTTCAAACCCTGCAGTCTGTGTGTGTGTGTGTGTGTGTGTGTGTGTGTGTGTGTGTGTGTGTGTGTGTGTGTGTGTGTGTTTGCGCACTCGGGAGCCACTTTTACCGTTTCCTTCAGATGGCCCAGTTGGTCGGCGCTGATCCCCAGCAAGGTCTCGGCCGCCTCCTGAAAGCAAGTGGCCCACACGCTGTGCCCAAAGTCGGCCAAGTTCACCTGAACACATCACGGCATGAGACCCAAACCGTTTTTTGGGCGGGGTTTTGGTCCCAAAAAAGAAAATGCCGGAGGTGCACGCGCACTCACGGGGAGCATGAACCTGTACTCGAAGTTGGGGTAGTCCGTGCCGCACTTGTCGCAGCGGTAGCGTCCGTCGTCCAGCTGGCAAACTTTCTTGTAGCAGGACTCGCCCGGGCAGGCCTGGTACAGGCAGTTCTCCTTGTAGCTGGCTATCACCGTGGCCACGCAGCTGAAGTCCTCCGCCTGGACCCAAACGCGCACAAGCGACAAGGTGGGAACGCCCGCCGCGTGAAAGCCGCCGACCCCAACCGGTCGGACACGTGACCTCCCGCCGTTGAAGGCGCCCCAAATGACAAGTCACAATACTTGCAATCGAGAAAACGGACGTGTTTGAAACGCCGTCCCCATTTCACGCCGACTCCGGCGGGAACGACTTACCTTGGAAGAAAAATGACGCCGCCGAGTTTGAGGGCGACTAAATGTTGCAACCGGTCAAGCGTTCTGCGGCCTTGCTGCGTGCGTGCGCGCGCGTGCGAGCGTGTCACCTTTTGGCCGCACGCCATCTGTTCCGCCTTGACTTCGGCGAGCGTCTTCCACTTGATCTCCGATTGGCCACTTGTGGAGCGGCGTCCCGTCAAGGACCGGTCGCGGCCGGCCCGCTCGTACCTGCGCAACACATTTTGCAACGTGTCCGAAACCTGAACGATGCGCAGGGACAAGCTATCGATTCAAGGCGACTCAGGCACCCGCGGAGGGCCGAGGGGGGGTCGTACGGCCTAAATGATCTCGGCGACGGACGCCGCCTGTGCCGAAGCTTCAAATATGACGCCGGTCTCCTCAATCGCATTGAAAATGAACCGAAAATGTCGCTCGCTGCCTCTGGCGCTCACTTGCTTTGCTGCTGGTTGTCACGGTAACACATCCCCAGCTGCCCAGGTCTTTTTTTTTTTTTTCCCCAAAAAGCATCGCAAACTCTGAGAGCTCAAGAGGCCGCGGTTGGACAAGCGCGACATTTGACCGGCCATTAAAGCTGCGCTGGCGCGAGCGAGAAAAAGGCGGAACAAGAAGCGTGGCGCTTCCCTCGCATGCCACCTCGCTGATGGGATGAGTCACCGTTCCACACGCCCGCATCGCACGCCGACTAAGAAGCGCGGCGTTGGAGCGTCCCATCTGCTCTGCAAACGCGGCTGCGGCGACGGCGCCGGGGGAGGGGGGGCGTGGCACGCAGATGCGCTCACGTGGCGGCGGCAGCGGCGGTCCTTTGGAGACATAACGTTTGGAAGGAGCCGCAACGACGGAGGCGCTCGTGTTTTGCAGGCGAGTTCCCACCTGGACGGGGGGCTTTGCACGTTTTCTCTTACACTACTTTTAGCCTCATTCAAGCGCCTTCATTGTCGTGATGCGAATGTGAAGCGACCGGTGCGCTGTACGGATCAACGGGATGGGCCCCGCGACCAATCCGGGGCAATAAGAGCTTGCTCTGAAAAAGGGGAGGGATCTTTTGAACATAAACAGCTCCATAGACAGATTTTTTTTTTGTTTTTGAAGGCTTACGCTCAGAAAAAAAAGCTGTATAAGAGGAAAAAAATAATTTCTTTGAAAAAAAAATGTATTTCAGAAAAAAAAAAAAAGGTTTCTGATAAAGTGACATGCCCCCCCCCCCTTTCCCGAGAGAACAAGATATTGTGAGCTTTTGGGTGCGCAAGATGACGCAGACCAAAGCGGGCGGGCGAGTGACTGACCAGGCTCTCAAGGCCGAGGCCTCGGGGATGTCGGGGTCGACCGTCAGCGTGGTGCTGCAGAGCGCCGACAGCGAGCGACCGTCAAAGGTCGACAGGCGAGCCCCTTTGATGGCCACCACCGGGTGACGGGAAGCGTCGAACATCTGAGCCTGCGGAAGCAGCGACAAGCCACTTTGGTCCCAGAGCGACAT